GCATCCTGACCAGATGCCCGAACCACCTCAACTGGCTCTTCTCGATGTGGAGGAGCAGTGGGTCTACTCCGAGCCCCTCCCGAATGACTGAGCTTCTCACCCCATCTCTAAGGGGGAGCCCTGCCACTCTTTGGAGAAAACTCATTTCGGCCGCTTGTATCCGCAATCTTGTTCTTTCGGTCACTACCCAAAGCTCATGACCATAGGTGAGCGTAGGAACGTAGATCGACCGGTAAATCGAGAGCTTCGCCTTCTAACTCAGCTCTCTCTTCACCACGACAGACCGGCACAACGCCTGCATCACTGCAGATGCAGCAAAAATACGCCTATCGATCTCACGCTCCAGTTTCCCCTCACTCGTGAACAAGACCCCGAGATACTTAAACTCCTCCACTTGGGGCAGGACCTCATCCCTGACCCGGAGAAGGCATTCTACCCTTTTCCGAATCAAGACCATATGGTCTCAGATTTAGAGGAGCTGATTCTCATTCCAGCTGCTTCACACTCGGCTACGAACCGCTCCAGCAAAAGCTGAAGATCACGTTCGGATGAAGCTAACAGGACCACATCATCTACAAAAAGCAGAGACCTGATCCTCAGGCCACCAAAAAGGATGCCCTCCACACCTTGGCTGTGCCTAGAAATCCTGTTCATAAAGGTTATGAACAGAATCGGTGACAAAGGGCAGCCTTGGCGGAGTCCAACTCTCACTGGGAACAAGCCCGACTTACTGCTAGCAATGCGGACCAAGCTCTGACACCGGTCCTACAAGGACCTAACAGCCTGTATCAGAGGGTCTGGTACCCCATACTCATGGAGTACCCCCCACAGGGTCCCCTGAGGGACGCAGTCAAATGCCTTCTCCAAATCCACAAAACACATGAAGACTGGATGGGCAAATTCCCACACACCCTCCAGGATTCCCCTAAGGGTATAGAGCTGGTCCAGTGTTCCACAGCCAGGACAAAAACCACATTGCTCCTCCTGAATCTGAGGTTCAACAATCTACGGACCCTCCTCTCCAGAACCCCTGAATAGATCTTACCAGGAAGGCTCAGGAGTGTGATCCGCCTGTAGTTGGAACACACCCTGTGGTTCCCCTTTTTAAATAAGGGAACCACCATCTTGGTCTTCCAGTCCAGTGGGACTGCCCCCAATGTCCATGCAATATTGCAGAGCCGCATCAGCCAACACAGCCCCACAACATCCAGAGCCTTAAGGAACTCCGGGCGGATCTCATCCACCCCTGGAGCCTTGCCCCAGAGGAGCTTTTTAACCACCTCAGTGACCTCAGCACCAGAGATTTGAGAGGCCAACCAAAGTCCCCAGACTCTGCTTCCTCACTGGAAGACATGTCGGTGGTATTGAGGAGGTATTCGAAGTATTCTGCCCACCAATCCACAACGTCCTGAGTAGAGGTCAGCAGCACACCGCCCCCACTATAGATAGCATTGGTAGTGCACTGCTTCACCCCCTGAGGTGCCGGATGGTGGACCAGAATCTCCTCGAAGCCGTACGTAAGTCTTGCTCCATAGTCTAACTGAACTCCGCCCATGCCCGGGATTTTGCCTTGGTGACCAGCCGAGCCGCGTTCCGCTTGGACTGCCGGTAACCGTCAGCTGCCTCTGGAGTCCCACAGGCCAAAAATACCTGATAGGACTCTTTCTTCAGCTTGACAGCATCCATAACCACTGGTGTCCACCATTGGGTTCGGGGGTTGCCACCACGACAGGCACCGGCGATCCTGCGACCACAGCTCTGGTCGGCCACCTCAAAGATAGAGGCACGGAACAGGGTCCATTCAGACTCAATGTCCCGTGCCTCCCTCGGAACATTTTGGAAGTTCTGTTGGAGGTGGGGAATTGAAGCTCCTTCTGACAGGAGATTCTGCCAGATGTTCCCAGCAGACCCTTGTGATATGTTTGGGCCTGCCTGGTCTGACCGGCATCCTCCCACACCATCTGAGCCAACTCACCATCAGGTAGTGTTCAGTTGACAGCTCTGCCCCTCTCTTCACCTGAGTGTCCAAGACATGCGGCCTCAGGTCAGACGAAACAACAGCAAAGTTGATCATCGAGCTGCGGCCTAAGGTATCCTGGTGCCAAGAGCTCCTTTATGTCTGAACATGGTGTTCATTATGGACAATCCATGACCGGCACAGAAGTCCAATAACAAAACATCATTCAAATTCAGATCAGGGGGTGCCGTTCCTCCCAACCACACCTCTCCAGGTCGCACTGTCTTTGCCCACGTGAGCGTTAAGGTCCCCCAGCAAAACGAGGGAGTCACCGGAAGGAGCGCTTTCCAGCACCCCCTCCAAGGTCTCCAAAAAGGGTGGGTAGTTTGAACTGTAGTTTGGTGCATAAGCACAGACCACAGTCAGAACCCATCCCCCCACACATAGGCGGAGGGAGGTTACCCTCTCATTCACTGGGGTAAACCCCAACGTACAGGCACCAAGATGGGGGAAAACTAGTATGCCCACCCCTGTTTGGTGCCTCTCAGTGGGAGCAACTCCAGAGTGGTAGAAAGTCCAACCCCTCTCAAGGAAACTGGTTCCAGAGCCAGAGCCATGCATTGAGGTGAGTCCGACTATATCTAGTCGGAACCTCTCAACCTCACACACCAACTCAGGCTCCTTCCCCACCAGAGAGGTGACATTCCATGTGCCAAGAGCCAGCCATTGTAGCACGTAATCCACAAACTCTTCTGTCTTAGAAAATCATTTAGACTGGATTATTACCAACCCATACATAATACAAGAGATATGCCACCATTACATGGCAAGAAATTAAATGTTATTAGCATTTCCAGTAGCTTACTACTAAACATGTTAATTAAATTATTAAACTCTACTGATCATATGTGTATATATTTAGATTTGTTATTTTGATGAGGATATAAATACAAATTAAAATGTTAATGAAACGTAGGTCAAATTTTTTCCACAAAATATTTTTTAACTATAAATATCAGCTGAAGAGAACAAACCAACGTCATGTTCTGTGTCCCTGTGGTCCCCAGCCCCCTCAAGGTTCCCTCTAGGTGTCCCCTCAGATTCTGTGTCCCATTGGTCCCCAGCCCCCTCCTGTTCTCCCTTCAGGTATCCCCTCAGGTCCAGTGCTCCTTGTAGTCCCCAGCCCTTTTTGTCCCCCAGCTCCCTCCAGGTTTCCCTCATGTTCTCCTAGTCTCTCCTCAGTTCTCGCTTCCCACTGAGATAATTTGTTTACTTATTTTTAGATTCCCCTGTGCCTTTGTTCTACAGTGTTCAAGTTTAGTTTGGGTTGTTTTAGTAGCTTTGGTTTACAGTGTTGGGGTCCTGCCCTCATGAGAAAATTACTATGCAGTATTTTCTCCAAAGGACTGTGCATCTACGCCCTGAAGTGTAGACAATATCAGCGCCAGTCCCATGATCCTCTACAGCTGGCAGCAGCTTGATGACACCATCAAGCGACACCAAGTCTGACCAGCCGCTACAGAGACCGCCCGCTGGACATCTATAAAGCTGAAGCGCAGAGCGGAAATCGTTCTCTTCTAGTCCAGTTCATCTGGTGTAAGGAGACCCCCCGCCTCTGCTCACATCACTCCGGACAGCGTGCATGAGGCCTAGCTGCTGATCAAGAACCACGCCATCTGATCTGCTCAGCTGAACACAGAGGGACGCCTCGTGTGTTCGTTCAAAGTTTCTCTACCTTTTTATCTCTCTCTTTCTCTCCCGCTTTCTCTAATAGTCCGAAATAAGCGGTCGACCACGTGACCGCTTTAAACTAACACACCATTTTCTCTCCTCCATACCAAAAACGCCAATGGATCATCTCAGAGTAAGCCGTTTCTTTCATTGTTAAATATCTAAGTTTGTTTATGCTGTGGCCAGGCTGACAGACTGTTAGATTTGTGATTTGCCTTTATGACTGATTTGTTTTTTGTTTTTCTTGACCTTTGTGAAGCGATTTGAAGTGTTTTGATTAAGTTTATTGTGACGTTTGCCCATATCCACTGATTGTGCGTGTTGGGAAGACAAGCTGAACTCAACACACACACACACACACACACACACACACACACACACACACACACACACACACACACATAGCCGATCCTGTGGTCAGCCAAACAAAGGATCCGCCATTTTGTTTTCAAATTCCCTCCAGTTTGATAATCAGCTATCTCTGCTGGAACACATTACCATCTCACCCCACCGGTCTGATTAGATTGTTACTCCACATTATCATTCCATGGTTCCATTGCTTGTTGTTTGTTTTGATAGAACCGGTTGGTTGATATTGATTGGCTAATACTTTGAAGGAGCTAAGGTGATCATATTAGTCAATAAATGTTATTGCCAATTAAGTTTTGTCTCAAGAGAATTTGTCTGTGTGGATAGAATAGGACTGCTGCTGGTTAAAAGAATTTTACGAACTTTAGGCAGATTGATAGAGGCTTGGATTCATTTTTCCCCTATAAAAGGGGTGGTGCACCAAGGATATCCACGGATATCCTAATTACGTAATAAATCAGTAAACATTTCCATATTTAAGAATTTTATTGATGAATCCAAAAAGTAAGTAAAGCTTACAAATTATTTGTTGGCTAATAGCCACAACAACAGGTTTAAGATATTGTTCTCTCCCCTGCTTATTTCTGCTTCTTCCCTCAGTTCCACCGGTCCCTCCATCCACCACCAGCAGGCAAAATGGGTTAAGTGACTTGCCCAAGGACACAACAGCAGCATTCTCTGGTAGGAGCCAGGATTGAACCTGCAACCTTCTGAGGAACTACTGTCCCATCTATCTATCTATCTATCTATCTATCTATCTATCTATCTATCTATCTATGTGTGTGTGTGTGTGTGTGTGTGTGTGTGTGTGTGTGTGTGTGTGTGTGTGTGTGTGTGTGTGTGTGTGTGTGTGTGTGTGTGTGTGTGTGTGACACCACAGTACTGGTTGAGTTTTGTGAAAACAAACATGAAAGTAACTAACATTGTTTAGGAGTCGTCTCACCTGATGTCGTCCTCGTTGGCGAAGATGATGACAACTCGAGCGTTTGGGTTCTCACTCAGCCTGTGGATGATCTTGTCAAACTCTCCCACTCTGGGCTCACGTTGAATTTTCACTGACTGTGATATGCACAAGCCACCTAATTGGAAAAGGAGACATTGTCATGATCATGCCCTGATGCCTGTGTTTTCCTGTCTCCCTGCAGCAGCAGTAATCTAAGCTGATGAGTTCCACCTGTGCTGCTCTGTATTGAAGCACCTGGCTCCTGCTGCTTGGTGCGAGATCGTCTGCTGCCTTGTCACAGTCTGTTGAGCATTCACACTTGTCTTCCCGCTTATTGCCTGACCTCTGCCTGTCTGACCACAGAACCTGTCTGCCTTAGTCCCTGTCTGGACTGGAGTAATCATCTTTATCGGCAGCCCTCACCACAGAATGCTGCTGCTGTTTTCAGGAGGCCACGCTGCCCGGAACCGACTCCAGCAGGTCCAGATCGCTGTATCAAGTCCTTAAATAAACATTTTAAAACTTTCTCTGTAGTGTGGTTGTTGGATCCGGCTGATCGGTTTTAGCTCTGACCGTGACAGAAATTTCCAAGTTAAAACGAGTCTCATCAGCTAAACTTTGCAGTTAATTTTCCTCAGTTTTTGTTACTCTTACATTTATTTATTCTTTTTAGTCTTCAGCCACAGAGGCGTCTTTTTTTTCAGTTGCACCTTTTTCTTACAGATACACAGACACAACATTTCACAGCATGAGAAATGTAAACTATTAAAACATGTTGTCCTTGCACTAGAGGCATTGCTAAACATCAATCCCTGTTACATTCCTGCCACTAGGTCCACCGGGAACTTGACAGTGTGGGTTGCAACTTTTAAAGCTCAATCAAAATGTTCATAATCTTGTTGAATGTGAAAGTGCACAATTCATGTAATTTCAGAGCTACTGGTTTAATTTCTATTTTTGAGTCTTATTACACAGTCCATTTAATTTTATGTCACCAATTTGTGATTTTCTTTTTGTATCTAATAATTGGGCAAAAGCTTAAAGAAATGTGTAGATAATTAGAGGTCACATCGATATCTCGATGCATGAAATCTGCACACGAGACCACAGCACTCCAATAGTACCCAATAAATAAAATAGATGTTTTTAAAGAAGATTTGCAACAAGTTTTGTCACATAGACAAAACTCAAAAGCATGAACATGAAAATGATTTTCTCTCTCAAACAATCCCAGTGCTGTCTTGCTCCTGGGAACAAAAAGTCCTTTCTGGTTAAGTCGGTGAGTCGGTTTGGTCAGTGACCTGCACTATTGTTCTGACTGTAAAGTCTGAATTAATATAATCATGCCTCCTTGTTCCTCAAATGCCATTTTTTCTCATCCACTGGAGAGAGTTTCTCTTTTTTCTGTTCCACAGAGAGACGATGTGTATAGTTCTCTAGTGGTCCTGCATTTTATAAGTAGAAAGTGACTGTTCTGGATTATGTGTGCATCCACTGAGCTGGTTAATGGATTAGCAGCTCCCACTGAAGGATTAGATTCATTCCTGTGTGTGTGTGCTGGCCCGTGTCTTGTTTTGTGTTGTCGGTAGGTGTTGCCGTCTGCACTCAGGCAAGACCTCGTTTCATCAGAACGTTCTGAGCAAACCTTCAATTTACTTGTTTTTCACTCTTAGTAGGAGACTGAAATGGCTGACAATTACATTATGCCCTATGATATTCTAGTATAGCTCATATGTCATTTGAGGTCATTCCTATTTTACCATATTTTCCTGACAATACTGTATGCAGTAAGAGCTCTGTGTCATGTTAACGACTCACAGCTGTGAAGCTAAACATACGTGATGCTAACTGTTTACCCAGCCTGTGCTCCTGATTGCCAAGTCTAACACTGGAAAAAGAGGTTTATGAGTCTACCTCTCTGTCAGTGGACCACATGGGAAATTTAGCAGCAGCAACACTGTTCCTAGGCACTCAATCAATCATTAGATTCAATGTGTTGTTTGCCTCACTGATATTTTTGTCTCTCATTCCCACAACATCTGCTACATGGAAACAGAGCACTCATCCTTTTCCGTTCCTCTTGTCTTATGCCAGAGCGACCGGCCGCAGCGTCGCTGATTCTCCAGAGGACAAGATCAGGAGGATGGGGAAATACTAAACCAGCCTGAGAGATTTAAAGCACACTAAATTAGACCCTCCAAGGGGCCATTGTTGCAAGTCTGTTGGTTTCAGGGTGGGCACAGAGATTTGGTTTACTTCTGACACCACTCCTTCTCCCTTATAAATGGCACATTTAGGCACCATGACCTCACATGCCCTCGGTTACAGCCAGAGAATAAGAGTATTTATATGAGCCACTAGGACAAAAGTAATGAACCAAATGTACTTTTGGTTCAGTTTAGCTTTTTGGATATTTGTGAGACTCAAAGGGCCACTTGCACCTCATTTTATCCTGTCAAACTTTGAGCGTCTCCCTGTGCTGGTGCAGTTTTCCACATTCAACTTCCTGCCTGAAACCTCACACGGTAGACTTTCATTCTAAACTGGTGAGCTATGTTTATTCCCAACTATGAGAGTTGCTGTGGGAGCAACTGGATTTAGGATTAATTATTCACTGAAGCTACTAGTTATTGGCCATCATTTTCCATTAGCTACCACTCATAACGGTATGAAATGTTTTTTCATAAATTTTTTTGTGAAATGTGATAGGTAATTTTTACTGAGTATTATCCAGTCCATCACAGCTTATTATTATTATTATTATTATTTTTATTATTATTATTATTATTATTATTATTATTATTATTATTATTATTATTATTACCATTACTATTATTACTATTACTATTATTATTATTATTATTGTCACACCATAACAGGTAGATTTTTCAACCTTTCACAAAACTTGAAGTCAGTTTGTTTTTCTGGTGACCAGATTTCCACAAACAGATCTCATGTTCCAAGAATTGAACACAGTGTCAACTAAAGCCTGTTTTACTGGAAGCTTCGGTTTCATGTGTGTTATGTGCACCGCTTATTACTAACACCACACTGCACTTAATTTCTCAGCCACATTTAAAAACATTCTCTAAAAATACTCGTTGCTCTGGAGACTGTTGGCTTCCTCCCCCGAGTCGCTCATTGTCAGCCTGGCGAGTTCTTTCCCAATAGCTCAGAACACTAATATGTTTTTTCCCTTGCCACCGTGGGGAAAACAGCGCTGACTTGAACATTAAGTATTTTCTGTCTCAGAGCAGCTCATGGGCCTGTTGAACAGATCTGCAGAAGCTCACAGAACACACCTAGTGGGTGATGTGGTGAAGCTGCAGGTTTATTTATAGCTAACTTAATGGGATGCCATCTGAGGATACCTACACAAACACATTTAAAGTGCAGCTGAAGAACATTGACCCCTTAAGCTTCAGACAAGTTTTTGAGAGTTCCTCCGGGGGGAAAAAAAACTATTTTATATCGATTAATAACAACAAGAAAAAAGGGCAAATTTAGTTGTTGAAACAAATCTGAAAAGCTGGAATTACTCATATTTTCTACTGGCTAAAGGACTATTTGAGAAGCCCTTTCTAGAGAAATATTGATTTAAAACAATTATTATCAGCTAGTATTTCCATCTTACTCTGAGGTCAAAACGTTCTTGTTTACAGGTGTTTTTGATTTTGTAAAAAGTTAAGCATAGTGATAAAAACTGTGTATTTGCAGCCTCCATCCATTCAGATAAATGATAAATGACTCACACTTGTATAGCATCATTCTGAGTCAGACACACACATTCACACACTGGTGGTGATGAGTATGTTGCCCCAGCTGCCCCAGGGCTCACTGACAGACGCGTGGCTTTCCAGGCACCACCAGTCCCTCTGACCACTAGCAGTCAAGGTGGGTTAAGTGTCGTGCCCAAGGACACAACAGCAGCATTCTCTGGGAGGAGCCGGGATCGATCCTACAACCCGCTCTACCTCCTGAGCCACTGCTGCCCTAACCTAGCACTGTTCACTCTCCTAGTTCACACCTTCAATAAATGGTCTTTCAGCCTCTTTCTAATCACAACACCAATTTTATCAGAGTGAGGTGGAGAGTGCACTGACCCAGCACAAAAGTATGGAATGGGAACTGTTCTGAGGCAGAGAAGAAGTGACTGAAATGAATGAATTGACCTGCTCAAAAGATGAGCAACAGAAACATTTACACCAGAACCAGAGCAAAGAACATACTCCAGTAGACACCTCACGTCCTTCAGGCAGAAGTCTGAACCATCTAACAGCGTCTTCACTGAGGCTCTGATGATCTCCATGTCTTCATTTGTCATCTTTGTTTAGTACAATGTGGCTTAAGTCTTTAACAACTTACATGAGAAATACATTTTGCCCTCCCTTTTAATAATAAATAAATGTGAATCTACAGAACTGTTACTGTAGAAGGCGTTCTGCCTTACCATCGTTTCATGAGTGAATTCATCAGTGCCACAAGACTGGAACAAACTGTAAACACATCCTAAAAAGACCTGATTAATAAATAATAATTATAAAAAAGTCGGATCAATTACAGATGGCAACTTTTTCATTCAGCCTTAACAAGATAAGGAGTCAGCTAACATACTCAGTCAGATAAGACTATACGTATTTTCATACATATACATTATATTAGGTGGAAGTTTACCGTAAATACACAGAATTCAATAACTTTACATTATAGTTTTGTGTACCAATGTAGCTATGTAATGCTTTTATAAGAAGCCTGCATTTCATTAGTATGTGATATTTTTATGTTGCAGGAAGAAAAAACACAAGTGTCTTGATTTTTCCTCCTGACAAAACATATGTCTGCAGATAAAATCCATAAAACCACGATACGGTCATGGAAATCAGCAGCTTCTGTCTGTCCAACAGTTTCAGTTTCTCCTGTAATATCAGATTTTAACAAATTAGTTGAAGGGTCTGAAAATCAGAGAGCAAGTGGAACAGTGGACTGAAAACTTCAAGCAACCTGACCCTGAACTAAAAGCATCCATGAGAGCTCCAAAGCTACAGCCAACGCTCGCTCTAAATTCCTGCAGGGGTGCGATGAAACGCTCCCCAGTGTCCCTGAGGCCCTTTGCTGTTGCTGATGCTGTGCATACTT